TTGATATCAACTTAAGAGAAGTCTATAGTGGAGTGCCCCAGGACTCTGTACTTGGTTCTGAATCGTTAACAATTTTATCTATGTCTTGGATAAAGTCACTGATGGTACGTTTACCAAATTTATAGATAACCCAAAGTTGGAAGGGATAGCCAACATACAAGTTGACAGAATCAGGATTCAAAATGATCTTGGCAGGCTAAAACATTGGGCCGAATTGAATAAGATGAAATATGATAGGCATTATTCAATATTTCAATTTTAAAAAGCACTTATGAAGTGCCTATGTGTCAGGCACTGTGCTAGGTACTACAGATACAAAAACAAAATGAAACAGCTTCTGTCTTTTAAACTATGTACACAGAGCTAAATATAAAGCATACGAATTGATTCTGGGGTGGAAGAAGTACTAAGAACTAGGGGAATCAGAACAGGCCTCTCATAAGAGATGACTCTAGAGTCAAGCCTTTAAGGGAGCTAGAGATTCCAAGCAGCAGAGGTAAGGAGGGCCAGAAGTTCAGACAGTAGAGATAACCAGTATAAAGACACACAGGTGAGAGATGGAATGTGGGGAGAGATGTGAATTGCAAGTGGCTCAGTTTGGTTGAAACACTGTGTGCAAGGGAGAGGAATGCATCATCATTTTGACGGACTGCAAGTTCAACCTGAGTCTGGAAAGATAGCTTGACAACAGATCGTGAGGGGCTTTAAACGCCAAACAAGTAAGTTTGTAATTTATCTGCGAGACAATAGGAAGCCACTGAAACTTCTTGAGTAGGGCAAGTCTGATAACAGACCCATGTTTGAGGAATACCAGTTTGGCTACTGTGTGATGAATGGCCTGGGCTGGAAAAAAGCTGGATACAGGCAAGAGGTGATGAGTGCCTGGGTTAGGCTGGTGTGAATGAAGGCAAGGACAAATATTTAAGAGATGCTGTAGAGGTAGAATTGATAAGAATCTGCAAATGATTGGACATAGGAAGGGAAAGGCTGAGTAAAGTGAAAAGACAAGGATGACCTCTAGGTTATAAAGCTGGTTGATTGGAAGAATGTTGATTCCCTCAACAGAAATATGAAAGGCAGGAGGAATGGTAAGTTTAGGATGAATAAGTCAAGGCTTACGATTGGGTTTAAAAAATAAATTTCACAAGTGCAAGATAGAAAGGCATGATTGGATGGCAATTTATTTGAAAAAGATCTGGTAACTTAAATGGATTGCAAGCTTAATATGAGTCAACAGTGTGATCTGAGAGCTAAGAAAGTGAATGTGACCTAAGGCTGCCTTAACAGAGGCACAGTATCCAGAAAAAAGAAGATAATAGTGCCCCTGTACTTGGCCCTGGTGAGACGACTACTGGAGTTTTGGATGCTACCTTTAAAGGAAGAATAAGCTGGAGAGTGTCCAAAAAAAGGCAATCAAGATTCTGAAAGCCTTTGGTTCAGGCCATATGAGGATCAATTAAAGGAACTGGGACAGTTCCTGCTCTGAGGGGAAAGAAAATGAGGCAGTGCTCACGAAAGAACACTGGCTGTGGTTGAGTTCTATTACTTTACTGTTTACCCTTGTCCTAAATAAAAATTACTATATTGTTTCATTAAAAAAAAAAAAGGCAGCCAGGTGGCCCAGTGGATAGAGCTTCAGGCCTGAAGTCAAGAAGAAATTGAGTTCAAATCTGACTTTAGCCATTTACTAGCTGTGTGACCCTGGGGCAAGTCATTTCACCGCTGTCTGCCTCAGTTTCCTCAACTGTAAAACGAGGACAATGATAGCGGGGGATAATAATAAACAATAATAAACAGGGACTGTTTAGGACAATTATGGAAGACTGCTTTGGGGCTGTCATGAGGACAAAAATAAACAGAGACTATTTAGTCTGAGGAAGAAAAGACCTAGTGCGAACATGATAACTGTCTATTATTTGAAGGGCTGTCACATGAAAGAAGAGAAAAGGGGGAGGGAATAATCATTATATGAAGCGCCTACTATGTGCCAGGCACGTGCTAAGCGCTTTACAAATGTTCTGTCACTTGATCCTCACAACAACCCTGGGAGGTAGATTCCTTTATTGTCCCCATTTTACAATTGAGGAAACTGAGAGAAACAGAAGCTAAGTACCTTGCTCAGGGTCACACAGTTAGTAAGTGTCTGAGGCTGGATTTGAACCCAGGTCCTCCTGACTCCAGCACTCTATCCATTGTGGCGCCACCTGGCTGATTTGCTCAGCTTGGGTTCAAGGAGCAAAGGATAGAAGTTGCAAAAAGACAAGTTTAGGCTGCATGCCTGGCACACATTTCCTAACAACTGGAACTATTCCAAATTGGACAGGGTTATCTTGGGAAACAGTGGGCTCCTTCTCATTGGTGGTCTTCATGTAAAAGCTAGAAACGCATCCATCGGATTTGTCGGAGAAGGGATTCCTTTTCCATTTCCCAGGCTGGGTTGGAGGTCCTCTGATTCAGAATTTTGTAATTCTGAGGTAAGGACATCTTCCCACCCCCAATGCAGATAGTTACATGTTGGAAATGTTGCAATTCGACTCAGAAATTCTCAGTTTGCAATTGTCTCCTGAACAGTGCTGCCAATGCCTGTACATAGAAGACATTACAGGGCACAACTCACCCCACAAAGAACTCTTTTCTCCAATTTATTAAATACCTGCAATTGCCCCATCATAGGGCACATACCTAAAGCCCAGGTCTGACTGTATTATTTTCCACTAAAAAAGCTTCAGTGATTTCCTAACCTTTCTAGGATAAAATACAAACTCCTCTGTTTGTCATTTAAAGCACTTCACAGTCTGGTTTTAGCCAATATTTCTAGGCTCTTCGCATAATAGTCCCCTTCGCACACTCTGTGTTCCTGCAAACTGACCTATTTGCTGTTCCTCATTGATGACATTCTGCTTCTCTTGCCTCCAGACCTTTGCACAGGCTGTCTCTCCTGCCTGAAGTACACCCCCTTCTCATCTCTGTCCTACAGAATCTCTAGCTTTCTTCAAATTCTCTGTTCAAATGCCACCTCCTAAATGATGCCTTTTCTGATCCTCCCCCAGTAGCTAGTGCCTCTCTCCCAACCCCAGAAATTAGTTTGCATTTGCTTTCTGTGTATATATTTATATTTATTTACATATATATACACACAGATATGTATGTTATTCATCTATGTTCATGTGACACAAATTTCCACTCACAAAATGTAAGATTCTTGGTAGCAGGGACTGTTTTATTTTTTTTCCTTTGCATCTTCAGTGTTTAGCATAGTGCCAGACACATAGTGGGTGCTTAATAAATGCCTGTCGACTGAGTTGCCCATGGTCACACTGTTATCAAATGTCAGAGCCAGGATTAGAACTCAGGTGTTCTTGGCTCTAAGTGCAGTACCCCCCCACCACAATATCCACTCTGTCTCTTTACAAAGAGCCAGCATGACTTCATCATTAGGTCATGCCAGACTAACCTCACTTCCTTTTTTTTAACAGGGTTACTAGATCAGAGGGATTCTATAAAGAGAGTGTACCAAGATTTGAGCAAAGCATTTGACAAAATCCCTCTTTCTGTCAGAGTGGACAATATGGAGAGATTTGGGCTAGACACAAGTTCAATAAAAGGCAGGTGTGGATCTGGTGGCCGGGCATTCTTGTCTGGGCACAGGTCAGCCTCTGAGGTTCTCTTTAACTCAGATTCTGTCATGCTTTATTCTCATTTCTCCTGACTGTACAACTGCTGCTTTAGTCATGTTTATTCCTTACTCTCCCCTGAACATACCATGATCACTGCTATCTCCGTGCCTCGGTTCAGGCTCTTTTCCCCACATAAAATGTCCTTCCTCACCATCAATCCAAATTTACACATCCTTAAGGTTGGCTCAACTTCCAATTCTTAATTAAACCTTCCCTGACTAATCTTGCCCCAGAAAGAATTCTTTTCTCCAATTTATTATGCACCTACAATCTATACCACATCCTTGCACTTGATTATATTACATGGAACATACTATTGAGGGAATAATACACCTTATTTTTTCCAACTAGATTATAAGCTCCCTGAGGACAAAGGTCATATGTATTACGTCTTCTGTATCCCCTCCAGCACCCAGCATAGTGCTTGATACACAAAAAACATTTCAAAAATATCTGATGAATCAGACACAGAAAAGCCTTAGCAATTACACATCTCTGACAGATTCCTTACATACTTCAATCTGTCAAAAAGAAAGTTTGCTTCACAAAGCCTTTTAAATTAATGGGTGGCAATAAGAAAATAAACTAGATCAAAATAATTCATTTCTTAAATTTTAAAAATATAAAGGGAATATCTAATATTCTCAAAACAACTGCTTATCAACACAACTGAGAAACACACTTTCCTAAACATTTATTCATGCTTTTTTGCAATGTAAAATCCCAGTTATATTTATCTCTGAAATACTGGTGGCTGTTGGATAAATACATTACATTTTCTTCTTCTAATATGTTAAATGCTGCTTTAAAAATCTCCAAATAAAACACTAACAACTTGGTGGAAAATATGTATATTTTCATTGCAGGGGTCTATAGTTAACATATTTACCCTGTTTTAACCAACACTTTTTTTTTCCAGAAAAGCAACCCATATTCTAACCTTAACAACAAACTGAAGCACTTTATTAACAATATATTATGGAAACTAAATCGTTCTCTTTCAATCAAAAATTATTTTATCCAGGAGTTGTTTGCAGTTGGCACCTATCTTTCAAAATCTGTCATGAAAAAGATTAAAGTGCAATCTTTTTTTTTTTTAACAAATCAACAGAGATGTGAGGTTAAAAGTGTGTAACAAAAGAAAAAGATTAAGATGATGTAATTGCCAAAGCCGCTTCGGCACTCTGATTTTTCCCAATCCAATCCTCATACTATGACCATAGTATTACAGAATTAGCAAATATACAAGCAAGATCTGATGAGCTTGGTGATTTTAACAAAATGTAAAACAATCTGTTAACACTGAATAGGCTATAAACTTACCAGCTCCACAGATCCATAATGTTTTCTACTGAATTCCCCTCGTCGGCAACCTAGGTCTTCTGAGACGGAGCTGGAACAAAAATGCTTCATCAGTATTATACATAGCTCTCTGGCCACAAATCTTCTGCAAAAATCTACCACCATTTGCAAAAAAGAGCTCCTACTGAACAAGGTTTGAGCTCATCACTGCAGGGGAGCCTCCTTGCAACACACACAATCTCCAGCAGCCATTGCAGAGACTGGCTTTCATGTTAGCCTCAAAGAAAATAAAATGCTCAAGCCATCCCTGGAAGGGCACACAATGAGGAAATTAAATATTTAGCCATTTGCGATCGATTGAGATTTCCAAGACGGCTACTGGTGGTTTATAATTGCATTTGAGAGCATTCTGCTTATAAGCAAAGGGAAGAGAAACCCTGCAGTAACCCTGATGCATGTCATGAAACAGCTGAAGCAAATCTGCAACCATTTTGTATGCTGCAATTAACTTCCATTCAGGAGAGTCTCTTCTAATTGTCTTAAATATTCACCAAATAAAGGAATATATTATTTTACGCTAAACTTAAACTCAAAACAAAACACCTTCAGAAACCATTAAAGATAGGCCCATCTCTTTTAATTTAAGAGATCAATGTCACAACACAAAGGACTAGAAGGACTAACAGAAAATCTAGTATTGAATTTGGAGGTCTATCAGGGAGAGTTTCTTGCAAGGAAGAAATTAGTATTCTCTAAACAGAAATAAAAACCCTAGCTCAGATATGACAAATCACATGCATTTCATTTAAGAATAAATTAAAACAAAAGGCAAAACAGTACATGTCTTTGTACCTTGGACACAAAAGGCATTTATTCTATTTCTTATTCTATCTACAATCCCAATCACTCCCCATGAAATGAGCTGAGATATACTAACAGAAACCATGCAATTTTACTTTTAAGGATTTTTCTATTAGTATAAAGTCATATTTAAATAACTAGAATGAAATACAAAATAAAATGTCACAATAATGGCATTTTAACATATAATCCAAAATATCCTGTCTGATATATAAAGAAAAGTGCATTTAGTACCCTTTCATCCTTTCTTAAAGAGCAGGCTATGTTTTCTAAATTACTGCCCTTTTGCCATTTTCAGGAAGAAAGCGACTGGGACGTTCATCATACACTGAACTGGATCTCCTGGCCAGCACACTGCTTGATGGGCTCCAAGAAAGTCAGCGTGATAGAAATAAGATTACAGAGTCTGATGGCATTCTGCTGCCACCATTTCACAGGGCTGGCTGAACTCATCTTGGAGGAGAAATTTAACCTTTTCACTCCCTCAGTTCCCATACTGAAGGTGGTATGGGAGCTGTCTAGCAGAGGTCACTCAGGCAATCTTCCTACTTCCAGAGACAACAAAAGAGATGAGGAAACCTCCCTCCATCACCCTTATCTGTCAATCCTGCCCAGCCCTCTCTGCTCTACATCACTTTCTGGTCCCTTTGCATTCCACTCCATCTGAAAACCCTACGTGGGAGTTTCTCCTGCTCTACAAGTCCACACCAGGCACCTTGCTTGGGCTGTCCTGAATTTTACAACCACCACTTTCTGTCCTGCCTGACTTTGCACTTTCAAATCCTTGAAGGCAGCCTAATTTTCCCTCTTAAGTTTTCTCCTTTTATCTGCCCTCTAATTCTTCACTGAGGCTGAAGTAGAGTGCTTGGCATTGTCATGAAATCTAACTCCTTTCCCATACTATGTATCACATCTCTGCCTGTCTTCTTCAGAATCTTCACCTTAGGACAATATGGTCTCTCTAGTATGAGGGTCCAGTGTAAAGGGGCCTGGTCTTGGGGTGAGAAGACTTTGAAGATCCAACTACTTATTAATTTTGAGTCCTGTCATAAGATCTGAAGCTGGAAGGAGCTTAGTGATTATAGAGCCAAACACCCTTATTTACAAATGAGGAACTGAGGCCTAGAGAGGTCAAATGACTTGTCTGAAGTCAGCACAGTTGAGTTTTGAACCTAGGGCCTCCAACTCCAAATCCATTGTGTCACGCTGCATGCATGTCACTTAACCTGAGACTCAGTTTCCTCGTCTGCAACATGAAGGGACTAGACTAGATTTGTAGTCCATATCTGGGAGCCATGGTTTCACATGAAGGGGACCACTGACTGACCCAAAGGAGTGTGTGATCAATCACAAAATGAGAAGATGGGTTGCATCTCTCCCTCCTCATGCTGGCCAATTATAGGGATTGTTTCCAATGCAAACACACCCTTATCTTCTAACACTACCCCCAACAGTCCCCTCCCTCCCCATTCTGTAAGCCCCCAACCTCTCCTCCTGGTCAGCTTGTGCTGACCCCTTACATTATAACCTAACTGCTACCCAGGCACCCAGAGCAGCAGGTGGCCACTGGGAAAATCTCCCCCTCCCCCACCCCATACCCATTCTATGACTTGCAGATCACCTTGTGGCTAACAGGAACTCTTAAGAGGGTGGTCTCCTTACTTCTTTCTTTTAATTTTGGATGGGACACAGTCAGTTAAACAGAATGATCAGGCATGCATGGATGGATGGCAGTGTACATTGCAGATCTTATTACACTGTCTTTCCTCCAAGACTCCCTCATCTTCCAAACTTCCCTATTTCTGTTGAGGGTACCACCATCCTTCCAGTCAACCAGGTTCACCTGGTGAAACCTTGGTGTTATCTTTGACTTTTCACTCTCCTTCACCTTACATATCCAACCAGTTGCCTAACCTTGTCATTTCTGCTTCCGTACCATCTCTCTCTCCTGTCCTTTCTCTATTCACAAAGCCATAACTCTAATTCTGGCCTTCATCACCTCCTATCTGGACTACTGCAACAACTTCCTAATCTCCTCACTCCAATCCATCCTCCACTCCACCGCCAAGTGATTTTCCTAAAATGTAGGTCTGATCATGTCACTCTACTTAATAAACTGCAGTGGTTCCCTATTGCCTTTAGGAGCAAATATTATTTCATCTTTATCTCATATATGTAAAAATTCCATTTTGTGTAAGTTTTATAATGTTCATAATTGTTAGTACAGTGATATGTATATAATTCATCAATAAGTAAATATATACATATTGGAGGTGTGTCCAAAATCTTTTTACTGATGGGATGTATAATCAAAAAGTTTGGAAACCAATGACCCAGATGATCTCTAAGGTCTATTCAGGCTCTAAATCCCATGACCTTATTAATTTGTCCTAAATGTCATTGCCAGAGGTACAAATTACAGAGGATAAGGTAAGAGATGGGGGAGAGTTATGATATAAAACTATAATTAACTGCTAACTAAAATAACTTAGAATGTGCCAGAAAACATAAAAAAAAAATTTGAATCTCAAGACAAGAATGAAGGATGGCTAGAAAAGGGAAAGGATTGAGTTATGGTTAAGAGAAGCTGAGCAGAAAGTGTAATGCGGGTGTAGGACAAGTGTGGAAACTATGAGGGGGCTTGCAAGTGAACATAAGCTAGGAAAGGTCAGGTCCTGGAAGAAGTCGGCCACAAGGCCTCAGGCCTCTCTACTTCTAGCAACTCCAAAAAAAGATCATGAACACCTGTGGTTGAAGTAGCCCCCTCCTAGCTCTTCCCAGATGAACAAGACATTTACAGAGGAGGAAAAGACTCTATGGGAACTCTGATTTCTCCACTCTGCTCTCTCTACTATACACTAAGCTTCGCATTTCTGAGGGAGGGGGAAGAAAACATTCCATAATTGTCTTAATTAAAATGTAAAGGCAGGTTAAAGTGAAATATAGAAATTAATTCACAGGAAAGTATAATCACTGGGCCAATCACCAAATGTAGTTAGCTTGCACAGTATGGAGAAAACAGGAAAGGGAAAGAAAAATAGATGCTAGAGAGGAAAGCTATGTTCAAATTTTGAACACTTTGTGATCTCATCAATATGAGTGTGCATGTTTCCTCCACTAGTACAGACAGTGAGCCTCCAACAGTTCCCCATTTTGTATGTTTCATCCTTGCTCTTCCACAGGTTCTCCAAAGAAGAAGAGGGAAAAGGAAGGGAAGAAGCATTTATTAAGCATCTACTGTGTGCCAGGCACTTTGCTAAATACTTTACAAATATTATCTCATTTGATCCTCACAACAATCCTGCAAGATAGGTGGTGTTAATTTCTTTTACAGTTGAGGAAACTGAGGCAAATAGAGGCTAAGCGACTTGCCCAGAAGACTACAGGTAAGTAATGTCTGAGGCAGGATTTGAACTCTGGTCTTCTTGACTCTAGGCCCAGTACTCTAGCCACTTTGCTACCTAGCTGCCTAAGGGGATCCACTAAATGTCAGTCCTTTCTTCAGTTCTTTTCCTAGCTCAAAGATGCCAGTTCATCTCTCAGACTGTCCATCTCCTGATGTAGACATGACTCTGAGCTCCAGAAGTCTATGCTAGTGAAGCACCAGCCCTGGCAAGTTCTACAAAGCAGGAAAAGATTTCTAGTATTAGCTGGCAGGCAGACAGAATCGTGTCTCACCACTAGAACTGGCCACTAGATGATTTTTTTTTGCCACCACAATGATTCAGTGCCAGGAGATACATAGCTCTACTTTGCCTGATTTAGGAAGCTTTTATTTGTAAAAAGATTTTGTAATACAGGAGCTTCCTTCCCAGATGATCTGGTAAAGTATCATCATAACTTCTTTGGTCACGTGTATTGTCACTTCCTAATTTATCTGTGGAACCGTTTGTTTAGTACCTGATTTATCTCAAGAATTTGTTGACTACATGACCTGCACTGTAAGCTGAGCTTGTTATATAATGGGTTGTAGCAAAGCCAGGCACTGGGCCAACTTGACTCACAGGTGCAGAAGATATCTCTTCCACCTGCTGTGAATGAAACCTGCTGCTACTAGGCCCCACCTGTCTTAACCATATTCTCCACTGGCCCTTAGGAGTGTTACCCTCCCTTAATGATGGCCTCAATCTCCCACCACAAACATCACTTAGATGAGATGATTATGGAAAACGGAAGCCATTACCTGGGAGAGCCTGAAGCTTTTCCTCTAGCTTTATCCATTAGAACATG